GCTGGTCTTGAGCCACCGCACCCGGCCTAAGCTGCTATGTTTTGGGGTAATTTCTTACAAAGCAGTGGATAATTAACACAGAACCTCTCCCTGTTCCTTGCCTTGGGACTAAAACACATGAGACTAGCTTTAACAAACAGGATGTTAGCTCATGTGTGTGAACAGAGGTGTGAGGTATGCTCCCCAATAAACCTTTTGCAGTTCCAACTCCATCTCAGTATCTACTGATCCTTAACTGTGACGCCTGGAGAAGCCAGACAGAAAAAAATCAGAGGAAAAGGAAGCAGGGAGCTGTTACATAAAACTTAATGCGCAGCTGTGAGACAGACTCCAGCACAGACATGGGTGAACTATATGAAGTGGCCAGTCTCCTCAACAATTGGGTAGCTAATGAACAGACTTACAGGACATGTGCAAATTTGCTGGTTATTAAGAACATGCAGGCCGGGCGCAGTGGCTCAAGCCTGTAATCCCAGCACTTTGGGAGGCTGAGACGGGCGGATCACGAGGTCAGGAGATTGAGACCACCCTGGCTAACACGGTGAAGCCCCATCTCTACTAAAAAATACAATAAAACTAGCCAGGCGAGGTGGCGGGTGCCTGTAGTCCCAGCTACTCGGGAGGCTGAGGCAGGAGAATGGCGTAAACCCAGGAGGAGGAGCTTGCAGTGAGCTGAGATCCGGCAACTGCACTCCAGCCTGGGCGACAGAGTGAGACGCCGTCTCAAAAAAAAAAAAAAAAAAGAAGAACAACAACATGCAAGTTAGGCCAGGCGTGGTGGCTCAAGCCTGTAATTCCAGCACTTTGCAAGGCTGAGGCAGACAGATCACCTGAGGTCAGGAGTTTGAGACCAGCCTGGCCAGTATGGAGAAACTCTGTCTCTACTTAAAAAAAAAAAAATTAGCCAGGCATGGTGGCGTGCACCTGTAATCCCAACTACTAGGGAGGCTGAGACAGGAGAATCACTTGAACCTGGGAGGCGGAGGTTGCAGTGAGCCAAGATTGTACCACTGCACTCCAGCCTGGGCGACACAGCAAGCCTCCATCTCAAACAAACAAACCAACCATGCAATTTAAATGAACAATACATTTCAATTTCTGGGTTGTATACTGTGACAGAAAAAATTCTATGGTGGTACCTGTGGCACTTCCTATTGTGACACTATGATTAGTTTAGGTTATCTGGCAAAGCTGAGGGATTTTGCAGATGTTCCAAAACAGTTGAAAGTCTTTGAAACAGGGCTTGGCCGATGGTAGTGGCTCACACCTGTAATCTCAATACTTTGTAGGCTGAGGCCAGTGGATCACTTAAGGCCAGAAGTTTGAGACCAGCCCGGGCAACATAGTGAGGACTGGTCTCCACTTTTTTTTTTTTTTTGAGACAGAATCTCATTCTGTCACCCAGGCTGGAGTGCAATGGTGCAATCTCGGCTCACTGCAACCTCCACCTCCTGGGTTCAAGTGATTCTCCTGCCTCAGCTTCCCAAGTAACTGGGACTATAGGTGCATACTACCATGCCCGGCTAAACAAAAAAATTTTTTTAAATTAGCCAGGCATGGTGGTGTGTATGCCTGTAATCCCAGCTATTTGAGATGCTGAGGCAGGAGGAATGCTTGAGCCCAGGAAGTTGAGGCTGTAGTAAAGTATGATTGCGCCACTGCAGTCCAGCCTGGATTACAAAGTATGGTGAGGTTCTGTCTAAATAAATAAATGAGAAGGCTTAGTTACCGACTCTTGCTGGTGGCCTGAAAAAAGGAACCTACTGTGAGCTCTACAGCTGCAAAGAAATGGATTCAGCCAACTGAATGAACGTGAAAGTAGATTCTTCTACAATCAAGTCTACAGATGTGAATGTAGCCAGCTGATAGCTAGATTGCTACTTCTGGAGATCCTAAATGGAGGGCCCAGTTAAGCTATGCCCAGACTCTTGACTCACAAGAACAGTGAGATAATAAATACATGTGGTTTTTCCCGGGAGGTGGAGCTTGCAGTGAACCGAGATGGTGCCACTGCACTCCAGCCTGGGCAACACAGCGAGACTCTGTTTCCAAAAAAGAGCAGAAAAAAATATGGTTTTTAAGCTGTTAATTTTGTGGTAAGATGTTACACAAAAACAGAAAACAGGCCAGGCATGGTGGCTCACGCCTGTAATCCTAGCGCTTTGGGAGGCTGAGGCAGGTGTATCACGAGGTCAGGAGTTCGAGACCAACCTGGCCAATATGGCGAAACTCTGTATCCACTAAAAATACAAAAAATAGCTGGGTGTGGTGGTGCATGCCTGTAGTCCCAGCTACTCAGGAGGCTGAGGCAGGAGAATCGCTTGAACCCAGGAGGTGAAGGTTTCAGTGAGTCGAGATCGTGCCACTACATTCCAGCCTGGGTGACAGAGCAAGACTCCATCTCAAAAAAACAAAACAAAAAACCAGAAAACAATAGAGACATGCAAAGCTTAGAGAACATGAGTCTCTGCTGGGTGAACGTGGGTGGCAGTGACCTTCTCACACTGATGGTAGAAGACGTATGAAAGGAAATTTCATAGTATATGACTAAAACTATTTTAAATGTTTATGCCATTCTTTCTAGCTTCTAGGAATTGTACTTGTAGCAGTTCTTCCAAAATGTGCTTCAGTAATTAAACAGCGGATTTGCATTGAAGGTTTACCATGCAGAGCGCACAGGTATTAGCTAATGCAGTCCTCATACAGCAATGTATGTTATACTCTGCTCTGATGGTTAAATGACAAAGTTTTAGAGAAATGAAATCTTTTGACTCAGTTTATGCAACTAGAAAGCATATGTGCTAATAAGCAGATGCTAATTGGCTTGAATCCATTAGTCACTCTTTTTTTGTTTGTTTGTTTTCTCTTGTGAGACAGGGTCTCACTCTGTCACTCAGGCTGAAGTGCAATCACAGCTCACTGCAGCATTGATCTCCTGTGCTCCAGTGATTCTCCTGCCTCACCCTCTCAAAGTGTGGGATTACAAGCATGAGCCTCCACGGCTGGCCCATAGTCACTCAGTCCCCTGTTTAATTACTATCGAAATAAATGCAATAATGGATACTTGGCTCAAGCATATATTGTTGAATATTAATTATCTAACCCAGGGGCTGGATACGGGGTGTTCACACAATTCTTTTTTTTTTTTTTCTTGTGAGACAGAGTCTCACTCTGTCATCCAGGCTAGAGTGCAGTGGTACAATCATGCCTCAACATCCCAGGGCTCAGGGGATTCTCCTGCCTCAGTCTCCTGAGTAGCTGGGACTACAGGTGCGTGCCACAAAGCCCGGTTAATTAAAAAAAATTTTTTTTTTTAGAAATGAGGTCTCACTACGTTGCCCAGACTGTTCTCGAACTCCTGAGCTCAAGCGACCCTCCCTTCCCAGCCTCCCAAAGTGCAGAAAGCACAGGTGTGAGCCACTGGGCCGGGCCCACACAATTGTTTCAAATTTTCTGCCTGTTTGAAAATGTTCTTAATACAATGTTGGGGTAAGGTAAATGCAATATTTATTTTGCAGTTCTTACCTCTTTGGCTGAGGGAATTGCTTGCTCCTCAGAGACTCTTTCTTTCTCTTTTCTTCCTTCCTTCCTTCCTCCCTCTCTTTCTCCCTTTCTCCCTTTCTTTCGCGACTGAGTTTCACTCTTGTTGCCCAGGCTGGAGCGCAATGGCACGATTTCGGCTCACCGCAACCTCTGCCTCCCGAGTTCAAGCGATTCTCTTGTCTCAGCCTTCCTGAGTAGCTGGGACTACAGGTGCCCGCCACCACGCCCGGCTAATTTTTTGTATTTTTGGTAGAGACTATTTTTTGTATTTTTAGTAGTTTCACCATGTTGGCCAGGCTACTCTTGAACTCCAGACCTCAGGCGATCCGCCCGCCTCGGCCTCCCAAAGTGCTGGGATTACAGGCGCGAGCCACCGCGCCCGGCCCTCCTCAGGGAGTTTCTAAACTGTCAGTAAGCCACTGGTTTTCCCTGTATTCATAAAAAAAACTGACAGGAACGCCCAGGATCCTAAAGTGAGCTTCAGTCTCAAGATAGTCAGCGACCGCCCTCCGGGCCAGCGTCGGGGCCTTGAGGGGCCTCTGGAAAGTGAATCACAGGGAGCATCTCGGGGTTTCAGGATTTTGGCTGTCCGCTGCCCAAGCCTTGGCATCACGGGCGTTTTTCCCTCTCACGTTCAGGTCCCTTCAAGGTCGGCGCCAGGTATCCTCCCAGAACACGGGCACACAGCCACGCCCAGGACCCCCACTGCCTACCTGCTGCCGCTAGAGGGCGCCATCGTCGCGGCTAACGCAACCTGAGGAAGGAAGCGGTGGAGCACTACATCGCGGGGTTTTCTGGGAGATGGAGGCGGTGGAAGCATACGCATGCGCAGCGACTGCGCCGCAGTGGGCGCGCATGTGCAGCGGAGGGTCCGGCGTCCGCCTTGGCGGAGGGGCGTGATGACCCGGAGTCTCCAAGCCACCGCAGAGTAGTGCGGGGCCGGGGGCTCTAAGGGGTAGCCGCAACCTGGACAGCCTGGGACACAGCTGCGGGTTCCGGCCAACAGGCCCGGAGTCGCGGCCTCGGCTCCGCTGTGGGTGCACGGGCTGGGGCTGCGGCGACTCCTGTGCGCTCCGCGTCTGCGGCTGGTAGGAATGGGGATCGTCCCCAAATCCCGCCTTCCGGGCAGGGCCTCCCCTGCCAGCGATCCTGCCCACAGTCCAAGCATCCTCCTCGCTTCTCGTGGACTGCGGTGTCAGCCGCCCGAGCCGGTCCCCGGACACCTGGCCAGGTGACGGCCCCCAACCTCCGCCTGGCGGGGGGTGGTCTGCGAGTCCCCCTCATCCCCGGCAGACGTTCCCGAGCTCCGGAGGGAAAAAAGGACGAGGAAGGGGCTGCTTATGAGTCTGTCGGTGTTGATTTAGTAGTTGTGGAATGTGAGCCCTGGGGAAATAAGTGGAAGAGGCATGGACCGTGTGGCTCCACTGGGGCGTTCGCGAATGCCTCCTGGAGGAGGAGACCAACCAGAAAGAAGAGGCAGCGTCCAGCAACTGGACAAAGGCCAGAGGGCCTTTCTGGCAAGAGGACTGGGGTGAGCAGAAGCTGATCCGGCTCTTTATCCCTGGGCGCAAGTGCCGTGTGGCATAGGTCAGTGAAGGCCTGAAAGGGGTGTTGAGCCAGCAACAAAATGCCTTGAGTGCACCATTAAAGAAGCAACAACTATGGCTCACGCCTGTAATCCCAGCACTTTGGGTGGCCCAAGCGGGCGGATTGCCTGAGCTCAGGGGTCCAAGACCAGCCTGGCCAACATGGTGAAACTCCGTCTCTACTAAAAATACAAAAATTAGCCACGCTTGGTGGCACGGGCCTATAATCTCTGCTACTGGGAAGGCCGAGACAGGAGAATCGCTTGAACCGGGGATGCAGAGGTTGGAGGCTGCAGTGAGCCGAGATCACGCCACTGCACTGCAGCCTGGGCTATAGAGCTAGACTATCAAAAAAAAAAAACAAAAAACAAAAAACGGAAAAAGATCACATATGTTGGCCAGACAAGGTGGCTCATGCCTGTAACCCCAGCACTTTGGGAGGCTGAGGATTACTTGAGCCCTGGAGTTTGAGAGCAGCCTGGGTAAAATAGTGAGACCCCATCTCTACTAAAAAAATTAGAGGCATGGTGGTGTACACCTGTAGCCCCAGCAACTGGGGAGGTTGAGATGGGAGGATTGCTTGAGCCCATGAGGTCAAGGCTGCAGTGAGCTATGATCATGTCACTGGACTACATCCTAGACAACAAAGACTCCATCCCTAAGAAAAAAAAAAAAAGTCATTTTGTAAATGACTTCTGGGATGCTTATCTTGACGTAGAAAATCTCCTACCCCAAGAACAAACACATAATTCCTGAACAAGGATTGGCAAACAATGGCCTCAGTGGGCCTTCTGTTTCTGTAAAGTTTTATTGGAATGCAGTCACATTCGTTTGTTTAGTATTATCTAGGCTGCTATCTGGCAGAGTTGGGTAGTCATGGCAGAGACCTTATGGTCTGCAAAGCTGAAAATATTTATTACTGTGCTTTTTACAGAAAAAGATAGCCTACCTGTGACCTAGAAGAATATACACTTGTGGCCGGGCGCAGTGTCTCACGCCTGTCATCCCAACACTTTGGGAGGCTGAGGTGGGTGGATCACCTGAGGTCAGGAGTTCGAGACCAGCCTGGCCAACAAGGTGAAACCCCGTCTCTACTAAAAATAGCAAAATTAGCTGGGTGTGGTGGTGTGCGCCTGTAATCCCAGCTATTCTGGAGGCTGAGGCAGGAGAATCACTTGAACGTGGGAGGTGGAGGTTGCAGTGAGCTGAGATCTTGTCACTGCACTCCAGCCTGGAGGACAGAGTGAGACCCAGTCTCAAAAACTACAAAAAAGAATATACACTTGTGCTAGCACAATACTTAGCACTAAGGATTTCTTTTTTTTTTTTTTTTTTGAGACGGAGTCTCGCTCTGTCGCCCAGGCTGGAGTGCAGTGGCCGGATCTCAGCTCACTGCAAGCTCCGCCTCCCGGGTTCACGCCATTCTCCGGCCTCAGCCTCCCGAGTAGCTGGGACTACAGGCGCCCGCCACCTCGCCCGGCTAGTTTTTTGTATTTCTTAGTAGAGACGGGGTTTCACCGTGTTAGCCAGGATGGTCTCGATCTCCTGACCTCGTGATCCGCCCATTTCGGCCTCCCAAAGTGCTGGGATTACAGGCTTGAGCCACCGCGCCCGGCCAGCACTAAGGATTTCTCTTTGCCACTGAACAGAAAAAACACCCTTGTTGTTATTAATGATGTTATGCTTTATTGTTAACTTCATTACTAGATGATTACTTTTACTCATCTCTTCTTTCATACTCTTCTATTCTTCTGATATTTGTGTGTTTTAGTGCCTGTTTTAGCCCATCTGCTTAATATGGTAAATTTTAGTATCTAATAAAGGGTGCCTGACTTTTTTTTTTTTTGGAGACAGAGTATCACGTTGTCACCCAGGCTGGAGTGCAGTGGTGCAATCTCAGCTCACTGCAACCTCCGCCTCCCAGGTTCAGGCAATTCTCCTGCCTCAGCCTCTTGAGTAGCTAGGATTACAGGTGCCCGTCACCACACCTGGCTAATTTTTGTATTTTTAGTACAGGTGGGTTTCACCATGTTCACTAGGCTGGTCTTGAATTCCAGACCTTAAGTGATCTACCCACCTCGGCCTCCCAAAGTGCTGGGATTATAGTCGTGAGCCACCGTATCCGGCCTCTGACTATTTTAACCAGATACTGTTGGACTTTTTATATGATCTTTAAGTTGTTTTGTTCTGTGAGCTGGCAGGGGCGGCGGGGGGAGTCTTTGAATTGGAACTGCTATAATTTTGTTTAGTAGTTTTGTGAAGATCTTTTTTTTTTTTTTTTTTTTTTTTTTTTTGAGACCGAGTGCTAGGAATGCAGGCGTGAGCCACCATGCCCAGCCAATTTTTATATTTTTAGAGATGGGGTTTTACCATGTTGGCCAGGCTCATCTTGAACTCCTGACCTCAGGTGATTCCCCCAGCCTGGCCTCCCAAAGTGTTAGGATTACAGGCGTGAGCCACTGTGCCCGGTCTGATATTTTAATACTTTAAAAAAATATGTAGGCCTTCATGGAGAAATTTAAAAAAAATACTTTCCATTCAGGAATAATATGTCAGTGTGTTCTGAACTTAACTTTAGGTCTGTTAATGAGGTTTTTGTATTTTCTTCATGAAAATCCTTTATTGCTTTTGCTAATTGATTTCCAAGTTGCTCCCAGCATCACTATTGTGAGTGACAATTTAATCACTATTCTGGATTACAATTTTTTTTCCAATTTTCATTTCAAAATTGTGAAGTATTTCAACCTGCGGAGAGGTTTGGAGAGTAATAGAATAATATATAAATAATAAAGATGACACCCATGTATCATCGAGATTTTACCTGTGTTAACATATAGTCAGATTTTCAGATTTTGATTTGTTTTTTCATATCAAGCATCACAGGTGTAACTTTGTCTCTTCCCCAACTCTTTCCCCTCTCTCCCCTCAGGTGCTACTTTCTTGAGGTTGGGCAATCTATCTAGTCCATGTTATTGTTACTTTACTACTTATGTATGAATCTCTGTATAACATAGAGATTTTGTGTCTTTTATTTCCACGTAAATTGTATCATGTGGATAAGTGCACAGTTTACTTTTTGCACTCAGTTTTTGGAGAACTGTCCATCTTGTATATATGTTAGTCTTTTTTTTTTCTTTTGAGATGAAGTCTCTCTCTTGTCCCCCAGGCTGGAGTGTGATGGTGCGATCTCCGCTCACTGCAACCTCTGCCTCCCGGGTTCAAGCGATTCTCTTACCTCAGCCTCGCGAGGAGCTGAGATTACAGGCGCCTGCCACCACGCCTGGATAATTTTTGTATTTTTGGTGGAGACGGGGTTTCCCCATGTTGGCCAGGCTGGTCTGGAACTCCTGACCTTAGGTGAGCCCAGTCCGTTTGTTTTAACCACCCCCTATTGCTCCTTTTCTCATACCACAATTTCTCTCTTCCCTGCCACTAAATATTTAGGCTTAGAATTTTCCCATGCTAAAGTTTAAGAGAATCACTGAAAGAATGAAAACAATGTGTAGTTTTCATTTTCAACCGGCTGTTACTACAGAGGAAAGTTACTGGCTTTGTTTACATTTCTTAGATCTAGTCATTTTAACAAATTAGTCCTCCCAAAATGCTGGGATTACAGGCGTGAGCCACGCACCCAGTAAATAATTATATTGCCAATGAATAATGAGTGTACTTATTCTGAATTTTAACATTATCTCAAAAAAAAGGTTATAGATATAGAAATATTTTAGGAAATTATGCAGTAAGTAAAAGGAAGGCTCTATAACAAAATAATGATAGCATCGGGTTAAAAATCAGCGGAGGCCATAGGAGAAAGTAAACTCCTGCGCGTCCGCCCCCAGGCAAGTCCACGGGGCTAATAACCCAGTACCCGCGGCAGCTCCAGCGTTGGGCTGGGGAAGCTCGGGGACTCCGCGCACGCGCACATCCGTGTCCCGGCAGCCGCGCAAGCGCAATCGCCATCGCCCGAACATGGCTGCCGCCGGCCGCCAACTGTAAGTGCCGACACATCTCAGAGCCCTGCGCTGGCTTCGTCTCCCCCGGGGGGACGGCTTGGCGGGTGGAGGCCCGCCGGGTCCTTGTGGGGAGGCGAGGGGCGCGTCCGCGGGTGGGTTTCACGTGGGTAGTGGGCATGTCGGGCTCGCTAGGGCGAGGGTCTGGCCGGGGGCGTAGTTGTCCTGGCGGGTGGGGACGCTCTGTGGCGATTGGGGTCACTCCTCTGAGGGCGAGGTCGCTCCCGGGCTGGTCTGGACGCCCCCGCTCTTTCCTTAGAGTCACCCGTGAGTTCCGTGCTCGCATCTCTAGCCCGCCCTACCATAGAGACAGTTTTGCCGCGCCTGCTGGGGTCCTGGTCCGTCCCTGGGGTAACCCCCGAGTCTACCGCTTTTCTACTGGCTGGTAGGAGGGGCAGTGTAGGCTTGGGTCGGCCTCCGGCTGAATTGGTGTCCGTGAGCCAGGGGGCTGAGCTGCTTCCCCTTTCAGTCTCGCAGGTGTTAGATCACCTGTGTGTTTTTCCATTTGATATTGCAAAATCATGTTTTACCGCAGTTCTCAGTGAGGGCCGCATTTTTGCACCTGTTTAGTGACCATTTCGCTGTCTTTTTCCCTGGTTTAGTGGCTTATTTCCTTTGTGCACTCTCCCAGTCTCAATATTTTATGACAGAAAATGTTGGTTTAGATAGAGAAGCTGAAAGACTCGTGCAGTGAAAGACCCCGTTAACATCTGCTGAATTTACTGTATCCCTTACCTTTCCTTCTGTCCATCCTTTCAGCCATCCATTAATCCACCTATTTTTGGAAACATGTCAAAGTAAGCCGCATATATCACAACACTTCTCCCTCAGACAGCTCACTATGCTTACCATGAATTAGAGTTCAATAGTGCTTTTTAAAATTTTTTGAGCCAAAATTGACTTTCAGTGAAATGCACAGATCTTCACTGTACCATTGATGAGTTTTGACAAATGCAACCTAAACCTTTATTAAAATTACCATCAGCCCGAA